GGGGTGTATGGCTCTTTGGCTCCAAGGATCTTCTGCAGCTCTTCAGGTCATAGCTCTTCAGGGTCGAGGTTCTTGTCTCATACCCAAGAAGAATGAGGGACACAGATGGCCAGGAAGTGAGAAGGCAGGATTTATTGAGAGGAAGCTCCCAAAATGGGAGGGGACCCGAAGGGGTTACCTGTCTCTGGGGTCAAAACCTGGAGCTTATATAGCCCTAAGTCTGAGCTGGTTGGCTAGCACTAGCTGTGAGCTGTAGCTGTTCTGATTGGTCAGCATTAGGACCAATCAGCAGGAGGTAGGGGCCTAATGGTGAGCTGATTGGTTGCTTTTCGATTCTAGCAGTGAATACTTAAGCTCTAGCTTGAGAAGCTCACAGGGAGCTTGTTTACCAATGCTGAGCCTGACAGGCTTGCTGGGAGTTTGCTGCATTGTTACCAGAGGACCCACCCACCTGTCTGTCTGCTGTCTCCTGTCTCATTGTGCAACAGTAATTTGATGTCTTCCACCAGGAGTTTTCTATTTGAGCAGACAATGCAGTCTCGTTTTCTTCTTCCCACATCAATAATATGTAATTTGTTGTACAATTTGTTGTTCGAAGGTGATGTGGAAGGACATTCTCTTTCTACTTAATGCCGGCTGATTTTTTTTAACGTACATCACAGTTTATGTTCCATCTCTGTTTGCTTTTATATGCAATTTGAGTGGAAAACTTCAAGGAAACATACATTTAAAACAAATTTGTGCTGGCATAAGTTTGCCCTGTATAATCACCAACAGTCTTTTTATGTCCCCTGACAGGAGGGGACATCTGAGTGATTTGCTAGATTTACAATATCCCCTTAGAGAGGACATCCGAGTGTAAAGGGTTAAGACATTGTGAATAGGATTTTGTTTATGTATATTTTTTGAAATGGAGTCTCACTCTGTTGCCCAGGTTGGAGTACAGTGGCACGCTCACAGCCACCTCAGCCTTGACCTGCTGGGCTCAGGTGATCCTTCCACCTTAGCCTTCCAAGTACTTGGAACTACAGTTGTAAGCCACCACGCCTGGCGAATTTTTTTTTTTGGTAGAGATAGGGGTCTCACCATGTTGTCCAGGCTGGTCTTGAACCCCTGGACTCAGGCAATCTTCTAGCCTCCACCTCCCAAAGTACTGGAGTGAATAGGATTTTTAGTCACCATTCTGTCTTTCTTAGTGAGTTGGCAACATTTTGTTTCCCTTTGGGACTATGTTTGGGTCTAGTCTCAGTCCATTTTTATGGTCATCCTGCTTTCATCATCTTTTATGAAATCCCGCACTGCCCTTGTTGATTCTGGTTGAAAGAATGACATTGAGAGTATCTCTGTTTCCATGTTAAACTTTACCATAGGGCTTTAGGATTCATTCTGCAGGAATCTCAGTTTTAGGTAATACTGTTACTAGGACTTGCTTGGCTCTTTTTCTCCACATTTTTCTTCCATTTATAAACCTTATCGCTGAATTGGATTGTTTTTCCAATACTGCTTCTGAATCTAAAATAATAATTCTAAAAATTAAGAATAAACACAGTAATAGTAAGAACTGTATTGTTTACCAAGTACTGTTGTAAATTCTTTATGTATATTAACTCACTTAACCCTTACAACAACCCGTTAAGGGTAGGCACTTTTGTTAGCTTCATTTTAAACTGAATCATTGAGAGGTCAACTCAGTTCTTCAAGTTCACTTGACTAGTGGTAGAGTTGGGGTTTAAGAGATGAAGACTCATGCTCTAAGCTACTTTGTTAAACCATCTCTCTCAAGCTAGGCTGTTATCTCCATTGCTTAGATATTTCTTTCTAAAGGGTAGTTTTTCTTACATCTGTGACGATTGACATTTTATCCTTGTGTAATTTAATCTTCTGTATTTCTGCTGTTATACCTTATTAATCTTTTTGAGTCTTCCTTTTTTATTCAAAACCACTTATTGACTGCATACTCTGGGAGTGTAAAGTCAAGGAGCATCTTAAGTCTATCTAGGAGAGTTTGTGATATCTTCAAAAGGGTTTAATATAGTTTTTGAGCCTTGAAGAATGAATGCACATTTTCAAGGCCAAAAAAAAAAAAAAAGAAGCCATTCCAAGTGGAATTGGCATATTCATTTGCTCAGAGGTGAGAGAACATTGAATGTTTGAGGAACTGCAAGTGAGTTCATTTGACTACCAGTGTAGATTTATCAAAGGCAATAGGAAATCGCTGAAGAATTTAAACGTGGAAGTGACACCAGATTCACGCCTGAAAGGTCTATCGGAAAGCACTGTGGTCCTTTAGAAGGAGTGGAGGCAGGTCTAGAAGAAGAGAGGTTGGTTGGTTATGGAGCCTCCTTGCCAGTGGGGGTGGAGAAGAGATACATTTAAAAGGTATTTTAATTGGATGTGTATGGTGTATGATGAAGAAGAGACAGGAGTCTTCCCCAGCAGGGAATATTAGGGAATCTGTGGGGGCTATTTTTTGTTTGTCATAATGACTTGGGGATTTTACTGGCTGTAGGGAGGTGCTAAACATCCCACAAGGCCTAGGACAGTTTCTTACAAGGCAAAAATGTGTCTTATTGAGAAACACTGTAGGGGGTGGTGACATTGGTTGAAAGAGAGAAGGCATAGCAGGTGTCTAGAGGTAAGATAATGAGTTCAGTTTGAGCCCTGCTGAATTTGAATGTATGTATGTGGATCCCTAGTTGAAATGTCCTTAGGAAGTTAGATCGGAGTCTAGAATATAACAATAGGTTTCAGATTTAGGAGTTGTTAGAGGTGGTTTGAATGTATAACATGGAAAACCATGATAGGTTGAAAATCTGAGGGAATAGGAGAAGTTGTTATTATTGACACCCACTGTTACAGAACACCAGCATTTAGTAGATGAATGAGGAAGAGGAGCTGGTAAAAGGAAATGGGAAGCTTAGATAGGTCAGATGAAGATCAGTGGAATGCTGGCATTGAAGCTGGAGAAAGTGACAATTCCATCAGGAGTTGTGCTCAGTTCTGTCAAGTATGACAGAGAGGACATAAAAGTATTTGGCAACCAGAAGCGTCTGGTGACCCTTCGGAGGTTAATTTCACCGGGGTGAGTGACAGAGATGGACACTGGTGAAAAGGATTAGAGTGTGTAGGAGGTGAGGAAATGGGGCAGTGAATGTAGGCTGCGAGAAATCCTCTCCTTCTGCAGCCAGAACTTTCAAACAGCCTGCGAGGACACGCTTATTCTTGTCAGATTCTTATTTTAGTGTATCAGCTGACAAATGAGCATTTATAGGTATAGCAGGGGTTTTAGTTATTTGAATATTTCATTATTTGTCATCTTTATACTTTAAAAATTAGTTGAAAAGGAAAAAATTGCTAACACCAGTAATCTCAGTTCTCAAAAGTTTAATGTGAAGTGAATCAGGCATGCAAAGAAAGTAAATCTTTAGTCTCAGCTGAATAACTATGTTGAGTTGGTAAAGAAAAGAACAGAATTAAACAACCTGAAAGGAATGTTAGATGTAGGGCTTTAAAGACTGCAGAGATTAAAAAGAAAGTGCCATTAGGAATTGGTGTCATAACATTTTTTAGTTCTCTTAAAACATGGGAACCTGCACTTGACTTTCAGACATGTTTTCAGGAACAAATTGTGTATAAAAGTAGAAAATTCCGTGTACTATTTCAAGGGTATCTGTAAAGGGTGATAAGATGATAAGAGATCCAAGGAAGATTTTAAAAAAATAAGTGATAACCCGAGCATGTGTCCTGTGGAGTTTGAAAAGCCAGAGGACAAAGCAGAGTTGAAGATGTAGAGAGGGGAAGCTCTTGATAGACAAGATTGCTTGCAGAGGCTGGCTGGTGTTGGATTCAGAATAGAGGTGTAAGGGTTTATCCTTGAATAGAAGAAAAGGGATGCACCCTTTTCACTGAGTTTGAAAGAAGACGGCGATGACGGATTTGAAGGTAAATACGTTTCTATGTGAAACCATAGGAAGCTGGTTCGCTCAGCAGTTGGCGAATGTCTGCTATGGGTTTCAGTCTGCTAGTACGTGGATATGTAGTCTCTATCTTTGAAAAAGTTAAGGTCCAACCTTGCAGGTTTCCAGCTATTGTAACTTTTAATTGATTTCTTATAGGTCATCTGGTCTTGGCAATGAATCTGCATCAAGTTTACTCATTTTTATTGTTTTTAAAAATTGGGGCTGTACTTGCCTTTGTCTCTCCTAGTCTCATGATTCCTCAGACTATCTAGAGTGGTTTTGAGATCTCATCTAAAAGGACTTTTAAATTATGTGGGATATAATTTTCCTTGTCATGGAGATATAAATTCACTGATAAAAACTAGTTGCTTTCCTGATTAGGTCCTTGAAAGAGATCACAGTTTTCCTCTCTGTCGTCTGACAAGTGTGGTTCTTTGTCGTGTTGGCAGTGTTGCTTAACCCTTCTCTGCACATGCCCAAATAAAGTCAGTTGAACAGCTCAGATACTTGTTGGGATTGTGAGTAGGAGTAGGATTCTAACCTATAGGTGTACATCAGATTCTCATCAGTGACCTTGACAGCATCTGGAGACATGTTTTTATTGTCCCCACTGAGGTTGGAGTGAAACTGCTACTGGCATCTAGTGGGTGAAGGCCAGGGTACTGCTAAGTTTCCTACAGTGCACAGGACAGCCCCTACAACAAAGAGTTAACTGGCTCCAGATGTTAAAGGTGCCCAGGTTGAGAAACCTCGGTGTACATTAGATGTAAACACTTGTGAGCTAGTATGCTTATTAACTATGAATACCCCTGTGGGGTAAATGGTATCATTTTTGTCCTGATGGCCCTTGTCATTGGTGAGGAGAGGAGGGTACAAATCCTGAGCTTAATTTGATGGGACATTTTCAATAACTAAGTATTCAGGATACAAGCTTTTTATTTTCAGGCTTTCTTTGGTCTTAGCTGTTTTTGTTTTTGTTTTGTTTTAATTTCAGGGACAAATATTCATAGCATTTGAATACATAATTTATTTTTATTTCAGATCTAGAAATGGCCATTGCCTACTGGAACTTAGTGCTTAATGGAAGATTTAAATTCTTAGACTTATGGAATAAATTTTTGTTGGTGAGTTCATGTTTTCTGCTGTTCTGTATGTTTTCTTTAAAATTCTGCTGTTTAAAGATAAGCTAACATATGTAATGGAATGAGAAATTTGATTACCAGTATTTTGTTTCATAGTTATTTTGCATTCTTGTATTTAGAATGGTCTGGAGTGCTTTTCCCTAACTCTTTTTAGTGATTTAAATTTGTTTTGTTTTGTTTTCTTTCAATAGGAACATCATAAACGATCCATACCGAAAGATACTTGGAATCTTCTTTTAGACTTCAGTACAATGATTGCAGATGACATGTCTAATTATGATGAAGAAGGTAATGAAAATTTTTGCCTTGCCAGGTTTTTTTAAATCTCCCTTTTAATCTCTTTTTATCATACTCTCCTGAACTACTTACACGCACTTCTGTGTTTTACAGATTGGATTTCTCTCTTCTAAGCGTGTATTTATACTCTTCTGAATGTATGAAATACTTTGATCTCTTTACCAATCTATATGCTTCTGTTTCTTTCCATTCTCACTCAGTATTATGTCTTGCCAGAAAGGCATTAGTAATTTTCAAGCACGTTTTGGGTCTTCAGTTTATTTTAGGAACCTGTTCTCTTCTTGATGTACTTTTATACCTATTTGTATATATTTCATTATTATCTGTTAGTTTTGCATGTAAAGTTGATTACACACTCCTTAAGTTCAATGATTTTGTCTAATTTGAAATGTACTTTCAGCTGCCAAGTGTAATACTGTTGGCATTCGATAAATATTCACTGATTGAATGCTTTTCTGTATTTCTTCATATATGTATCAGGAGGATGTTACCATCCACTCCCAGGAAACAGACTTTTGTTTTTCTATATGTGGCAGTTATTGACATTGACTTATTCACACATACTTCCCTGGTACCCCTTGAGAACTAGCAGGATACATTTTTGAGATTGGTGAATAGATGGAGTATTCTTTGAAAAACCTCCTGTGACCTTGGCCTCTTATTTATATGTGTCCTGTAACCATTTTACCTAATCAGGGATGGTAATATTTCTTCTCTTCATTTTGTCATTTATAGTCTCCACTAAAAAGTGATAAATGTTTAATCCTGCATATGTCTGATAATCTTTTAGTAATCTGTTATCATTAAATAAGATGGAGTTTGACATTTTCTGTTAATTCTCTTGGTAAGATTGCTACAACATGCCTGAAAACGTGTTTCCCTTGCTATGCCTTCAGTGCTGGCAGCAAGCCATCAAGTCATAGCCGTTCTCAGGCTGTCGGTTTTCACCACATTACTTCCATTGCCTGACTTCAGTGGCCTTCAGGAAGCCCTAATATTATTAATTGCCAGAAACCTTATTTTTTATCACTCAAGAGACAACCAAATGTTACAATAGGAGATCAAAGGGAATATAAGGAATATTTTGGGTAGAAACTGCAGAAAACGAGTTTTGAGACTTAACAATGAGAATTGATAAGAATGATACACTTTAAGGCTTATGAGGAAGGTTTTTTTGTTTTTTTGAGTCAGAGTCTCACTCTGTCACCCAGGCTGGAGTGCAGTGGCACAATCAAGGCTTATTACAGCCACAACCTGCTGGGCTCAGGTGATTCTTCTGTCTCAGCTGTCTATGTAGCTGGAACCACCACTCCTGGCTAATTTTTTTTGATTTGTTATAGAGATGAGGTCTCGCCAAGTTGCTCAGACTGGTCTCAAACCCCTGAGCTCAGGCAGTCCTCTCGCCTCCCAAAGTGCTGGGATTATAGACATGAGCCACCGTGTCTGGCAGGAAGGTATTTTAAAAAGGATTCTAGTAAAATTTTAGCTTTATTTCTGCTTTTCGTCTTCCACTCCTCTATTTTTTTTTCTTTTTTTCAGGAGCATGGCCTGTTCTTATCGATGACTTTGTGGAATTTGCACGCCCTCAAATTGCTGGGACAAAAAGTACAACAGTGTAGCACTAAAGGAACCTTCTAGAATGTACATAGTCTGTACAATAAATGCAACGGAAAATTGCACAGTCAATTTCTGCTGACTGGACTGAACTGAAGATCAATCCTCACAATTCAGACTGAGGGTTGAAACAAAACTTTAAGGATACATCTTGGACCATATCGTATTTCATTCTTCTAATGGTGGTTTGGGCTTGTCTTCTAGTCTGGGCCGCTCTAAACATTTATAATTCCAACATTGTGGATTTCATCTTATATCTGTGGACCATCCTAGTTTATTCTCCCATAAGTCTTAGAAGCTTTATGGTGATTATTTTGAGGTTTCCATTCTTGCATAAAGCACAATGCTGTCTTCATCAGAAAGCAGTTGGCATAAGAATTAAACATATGAACATCACAATTTATAAAAACTTCTTAAATATACACTTTGGGCTAGTTGCAAAGACTACGCTGATAGCACTTCCAATGAGAGTGATATATTTAAGTGTACCGGATCTGGAATGATGGTTTGGGGGGATTTTTTTTTTCCTGGCAAATCACATGTATTGTTGATGTGAGTAGAGTATCTGATGGAAAAAAACTGTCAAAATAACCAACATGAAAAATTTTTAGGATAACTTGGTGCCTACCTGAAAATGTTTTGTGTTTCAGACTTTCAATTTCAAAAAGGTTCCACAGAACTAGTCTGCACTTAACTTACCCATGTTTATATATAGTTGTCCTACAGGGAGCTTTTATTTAGAAAATGTCTGCATAATGTTAGGTTTCACTCCTGTCTACATTATGCACTACCTAATTGGATTTCATTATGCTTTTGAAATGCTTATATGCCTGTCAAATAAGTTAAACTATTTAATTTGTTTTGAATGTTTTGAATTGCTACACAATACAATATTCTAAATTTAGGCATGAGGGTTTATTTTTTGTTTTGTTTTTACTTTTTTTTTTGGTCATCGCACTATGGAACACAAATAAAATTCTCTTAATTTATAAGAAGATAGTAGGAATTAAATTTTAAAAATGGTTGTGATGAGCCATGAAGTTCAATCTTTATAATATAGGTACTGCTCTTTCAGACAAATAGTCCATTTTTGATGACTTCTTATTTTGTTGAAATTGCTTTAACTGCTAATCACTGTGGTTGCCAAATATTTACTTCAGGAGCAAAGATTTTCCACAAGCATACACTTGATGCAAAATACCAATCTGG